AGATTATGAACAAACCAATAATGATAAGGGAAGTTTCTGAAACTATAAAAAAGATTAAAGTCGGAAAGGTACGTGGAACAGATGGATTATCAAGGTTCTTGTTATAAATGTTTTAAGGATGAACTTTTACAACCTTTACAAAACATCTTGAACTATATCCTACAGGGAGGAAAGATGTTAGAGAGTTGGAAACAGGCCAATACAGCACCTATATCTAAAGAGTGACAAGATTTGACTTTAACAAGAAACTATAGGGCAATTATCATTAATGATAATGTCTACAAGTTGTTCGCAATGATTCTAGCTGGATTTTGCAGGAATGTCTTCATGAAGATCAATGTAGATTTTTTTACATAAAATATAGTTAAAGGAGGGATGTGGTGGCTCAGCAGCTAAGACACTGAGCTTGTGGATCAGAAAGGTTGACAGTTCAGTGGTTCGAATCCCTAGCATCGCATAACAGAGTGAGCTCCCATTATTTGTCCCAGCTTCTGCCAACCCAGTAGTTCGAAAGCATGCAAAAATGCAAGTAGAAAAAATAGGAACCACCTTTGGTGGGAAGGTAACAGTGTTTCGTGCGCCTTCGGCATTTAGTCATACAGTCCACATGATCATGGAGAACATCTTCAGACAGTGCTGGCTCTGCAGCTTTGAAACAGAGATGAGCACCGCCACCTAGAGCCAGGAATGACCAGCACATATGTGCAAGGGGAACCTTAACCTTTTACCTTATAGTTAAAGGAAAATGTTAGAAATATGTTGGAAATTTTTGACTGTTTGAGCCACATTATGGAAAGTAAGCTTTATTGATCTTCTTTTTGGCAGAGAAAACCTTTAACCATTTGAACTGGGATTTCCTGTTCAAGGCTTTGGAAGATATGAATTTTGAAGAGAACTTTAATAAATGGATAAGATCGATTTAGACTTACTGAAATAATTGTTAATGGAGATCTAACAAAACCTTGTAAAATAAAAAAAGGAACAAGACAGGAAGGCCAGTGGTCTCCTCTCTTATTTGTTTTGGTTCCCGAAAAACTAAGCAGAGATATAAAAGAAGATGAGAAGATTGTGGGAGTAAAGATCTTTAAAGAATCTTATAACTCAAGGGCTTTTGTAGATGATTTGGTATTGGTTCTGGAAGATCCTTTAAAGATAATTGAAATATTAATGGGCAAATTAAAATAATTTGGTTCATTAGTAGGATTCAAGATTAATAAGCAGAAGATGAAAATGTTAACAAAACTATAAAAATAGAACATCAAATAGAATTGATGAATACCACTGTCATTGCTGGCAAGAATTTCTGTGATAAAATGAATCCCTTGCCTAGAATGATGTTTTTGATTGAGATGATATCTGTTTTGGCAAATGTTGATGCATCATTTAAACAGCAGCAAAAGGACATATCTAAATATGTGTGGCATGATAAGAAACCATGTTTTTAATATAAGGTGTCCAAGGTGCAAAAGAAAGAGGAGGGTTGGATTTATGATTTAAAATTGTATTTTGCAGCCTGCTGTTTGGTCTGGATGAAAGAGTGGTTGCTGCTGAGAAATAGAAAGCTCTTAGAAGGGCATGGTGTCAGATTTGTGTGGAATGGATATTTGTGATATCAGAAAGTCAAGGTTACTGTAGATTCTAAAAATCATCGTTGGGCAGGTCATATGGAACATATGGAATAGCTATCATGCCATGTTGTATCCTGAAACACTTTTGTAATTCTCAGCACAAGAGAGTTCATAGATGAGAAATAATAGGCAAATAAAAATGCTTAACAGATCTTGAGATACATGTCAACTTATGACTACAGTTGAATTAATTGTGTGGATGGAAACAATGAATGTAAACTAAGCAAGGAGAGAAGTGACCTAGAAATAAGGAGAAATTTCCTAACAATTAACTAGTAGAACAGCTTCCCTTCAAAAGTTGTGAGTGCTTCATCACTAGAGGCTTTTAAGAAGAGACTGGACAGCTATTTGTCTGAATGGTGTAGGGTCTGCTGTTTGAACAATGGGTTGGAGTAGAAGACTTCCAAGGTCCCTTCCAACCCTATTATTCTGTATTAAGTATTTGAATTGTTAAATTATCCCACAGAAAGTTGTCCCACAATGAGTTAGCTGTGGTGAGTTGTCCTGCGAATTGGCCATGATGAGTTGGCTACAATGAGTTGGCCATGAGGAGTTGACCATGGGGAATTGACTATAGCAAATTGGCTGTGGCAAGTTGTCCTGTTCCCATCTCAAGAGGGCCAGGATTGACTCCAACTTAAGATCTATAGAATCTTATCTATCAGTTCTCACGCCAAGACTGACAGTCTGGGGAGTTAATGCAATATAATAAAGTAGTGAAATATAATAAAGTAGTGAGCTTGAACCTTTCACATGTGGGCCTGGTTGCTTGTGCCTATTATGTAAGAATATAATTTATAATGAAGATAATGGAATTTTCTGAAATTGCTAAAATGACCTTTTTGATCAGAGAAAAGACAATATCTAGATTTATTGCTGCCTGGAAACCCCTTACAGACGTTTTTTGTAAAACAGAAAAAAATGAACTTATAATATATGGTTTTGATGATTAGATGAGAGAGATTATAGAAGGAAGTGAGTTACCTTACAATCATACAGTAAGAGATACATTTTTAATTGTACTTATAACTACTGTAAAGAAGATTGAAAATTAGTTCATGTTTTTTTTTCTTTTTTTTCCCTGTCATGTACTTTTAACTTTCTCTTTGGTTTCTTTTTCTTATGTTAGTTTTGTTATGATAATTGCAGCAAGATTATTACACAGGTAGCTTCCCATATCTTTATATTAGTTTGTATTAGTTTTCGTCTTCCTTTTTAAAAGTCTGTATAAAAGTCTACTATGCCAGCGTTAAAAGAATGTTCTGGTCCACTTTCAAGCCATGTGGCATAAGAATGACACTGGACACACTGTTTGAAGAGGAGATGGGCAATTTTATTTGAGAGCATAGGAACAGCACTTAAAAGTAGCTACAAATGGGAGTTCAGAGGCTAGAACTATATAGAGGAAAGGTATTTTTGTAGATTATGGGTGCATGTGTGAATGTGCTCTCTGTAAGGTTTAATTTGATAGGCATAGAGCTCCAGTGAAAATGTTCTTATTTTACTTTGCTGAGTGTGTAGATCTTTTCTCATTGATGGATTTCTACATGGAGGGTTTGGTGCCTCTTCTGTGTACCCAGGGAAACTCTGTTTCATGAAAGGATTTCCCCTGTCTTCTATTATTGGTACAGGTGAATTACTTCAAACTGGTCATTAATTATCAGATGAAGAAGTGGATTAGTGATCTTTGCAACATTATTTTCTAGTTTTAGTTATTTGTAGGTCACGTTAATAATTAAAAGGAGAGTTAGAGACAGTACAGGAATAAGCCACAATTTGAATTAAAATTCTTTCCATCATTATTAAAATACTTCCCACACCAGCAATTTCCATTTTTTGTTTACTTTCTAAAGAAATCAAGCTGCCTCCTATTACTATTCCTTCTCAGTCAGTGATAGGAACAATTAGGAATTATTTCATTGTTACCAGAAGTGCATCAGGAAAGTCATTCTGGAACCCTAAGAAAGAGTATAGGTAAAGTGTTTTAGAACAAGTATACCATTTCTAGAGTTCTTCAATCCATTATGTAATAAATATAGCGCTATAGTATCAGTTTGAAGTGGTGAAGAAAGTGAAGTGGAACCAAGAGTCTCTTGATGAGGATGATAGAGGAAAATGCAAAAGCTGGCTTGAAATGCAACATTAAAAAATTAAGATGATGGCATCACTTCCTAGCAAATAGAAGGGGAAGAAATGGAAGCAGTGAATATTTTATTTTCTTGGGCGCCAAGATCCCTGCAGTCATGCATCAGGAAAGTCATTCTGAAACACTAAGAAAGTAGCTCTGTATCTTCTTCCTTAGAGAAGGTGACTGCAGCCATGAAATTAGAAGATGCTTACTCCTTGAAGACTTAGACAGCATATTAAAAAGCAGAGACATTATCTTGGTGACAAAGGTTTGCATGGTCAAAGCTATGATCTTCCCAGGAGTAATGTATGGCTGTGAGAGTTGGACCCTAAGGAAGGCTGAATGCCAATGAACTGATGCTTTTGAATTGTGATGCTGGAAAAGACTCTTGAGTGTCCCTTGGACTGCAAAGAGATCAGATCGTCAATCATAAAGAAAATTAACCCTGACTGGTCTTTGGAAGGACAGATACTGAAGATGTAGCTCAAATACTTTGGCCATCAAATGAGATGGCAGAGGATAAGACCATTAAATAGTGTAATAGAAAATTATCAGTTTAGGCTATTAATCAAGATGATTGATTGGTCAAGATGATTCAATGTAATATATTAGTTTCTTAAAATCTTGGCTTCAAAACCTGATTCTAAATTTCTGTACATTTAAAAAAATACAGCTTTGATTGAGTTTCAATGGCTGAGGTGGTTGCTTCTTGGGGAAAATATTCAAAAAAAAATTCATACAACATTAAAAAAAAACCAGGAGTGGATAAGATGTGCCTAGCAAGAAAAATCGGCACTGAAACTGAGATTTCTGAAGACATATAATGATTGTATGAGTTTCCCAGGATATTTTGTAGGGATAAGAATCTTAAGGAATCTGAGTAATGTGAATTTTTCATTTTATGCTCAGTTATCTATTTCTCCTTTCTATTAAAACTAAATGTTGTATAGTCCTGATACTCCTGGAACCTCTCACTATTCTGATGTTTCTGGATATTTTCAGAGGTCCTGACTACTTTGCTATCCAAAACATGAATGCTGTAACAAGTTAAGCATAGTTAAATAATATCATCCTTTCCCAAATTTAGTTAAGAGAAGATTCATTGCCAATCTGGTATTAACATCTGTAAAGCTGAAATGACTT